TTTATGCAGTAAAAAAAATCTCATTAACATTAAAAATGTATTTTGTAAGAGTAAGTTTAATTCTTTATGTAACCCCTTTGTATCCCCTGTTCACCGAAATCTATTTACGAACATACGTAAAGATATTACACATAAAAAATACACAGAAACACTGGAAATCAGTTTTTGGCAGACAATCACTTTTTGGCACAACACCCGGCTAACAATAACGGTGACATATAATATCGACATTTTAATGTGAGAATTGATTCTAGAACACAAAATGACTGCTATCGGAGGAATCGATATTTCAGGATCGATCCGCACATCACTAATACATGTAGCTGTAAGAGACAGAGAGATCTATATCTGTGTGTAGACAGATAAGATAACTGCTCTACGGTACTGAACAGGTTTACTTCAAGAAGTTATCTGAGCCAAATAAGCTGATACCAAATCATTAGGGTTAGTTGTGTTCTAATAGTAGAGTTGAAAGCTGAAACATGCTTTTTTGATCCATAGAGTTTGTTACATTGTTCACCTCACTGCCTAAGCTGCCACAGAAACTCAGATTTTTATTATTAACCCTAATATGTGTAAAAAAGAACATACAAAGAACAAAGAAACTTACCTACGAGGCAGCAGAGCTGAGCAGTGGTAAGAAGATCTGACACGGTTTTATAACCATACCTGAGCATGTGACCACTCTAACTCCTCCCCTTTCCTACCTGATCATATTACATTTATACTGACACAAATTACCGTAAATGGTACCTGAACCAGCGAACAATAATCCACGTCACACACACTTTCAGTTTTCATTACTCTGAAATAGCACTAAAATTTTTCATCATTTAATTGAAAAGTGTTAATAATAAAGTCTATATTTTATTATTTTATTATATAATATTTATTATATCATATATTAAATCTATGTAACAAAGTCAGCCTTTATAATGTCTATTTTAGGAAGGTACAGGAGCAATGTGTCGGTTAATGGACTTATTGTAGTATCACTACTACAGTGGTTAATAAACTGTTTACTTATATTACTTGCTAATTATTATTATTACTTATTACTTATTTATTATTACTTATTTATTATTTAGTAATGTTATTACTTATTACTTATGTATTTCATATATGAAATAAAGTAATCTTGATTACTGTGAGTGTTATCTGAACCAGGTAGCAAAAATGTACAACACTCACACACTCTCAGTTTTGTTTCTCTGAAATCACTGTGGGTGTGCTTAAGTGTTTATGAGTTAATCGGAAAGTGTTACATATCCTCCTGCCTGCCACACAGCGCATCCTGACACTCAGGAAGACTGCAGCAATTACTTATGATGTTCAGCATCACGGAAACAGTCATGTTGCAATAGTGTGCAAAACCAGACCTAAGAATGACTGACGTAACAAGTTAACAGAGTGACATTTATTCACTATAGCAAAAGTCATCTGTAATGAAATACACACATTTTAGATGTAAGCACAGGAGGGAAAAATGAAAGCTTCTTAGAATAATAAAAGCAATTTAATGTCATTAAAGAGTGTCTATTCTAAAGAGTAGACAATTACTAGTCTACTCTCAACATTCTATTCTACAATACATATCTTTGTAATATAAAAGAGAAAACATAAATGTGATAAAAAAAAAATGAGATAATTGTAAAATATAAAATAATGAGGTACACATGTCCAGCTGGGATAATCACATCAGGGTCTTCTTGATGTGATGTTCGTCTGTTTCTCTGGCCGCTGCATCTGTGGGGACGGCGTTCGCTGATCCATTTGTGATGGTTTATGGTACACATCAACTTTTAAATGTCCCCCATTATTGAGGAAAATCTCACAGTCTAAGAACCCTAACCTGCCACTTTTCATTTCCTCCCTGGTGAATTTGATGTGTTGGTGCACCAAGTTGATGGAATCAGGGAATTGTGGTACGTCCTGAGACTTGATTTTCACCCAGGTGTCAATGACTTCCAGGGTAAAATAACAAAGCCCTCTTTTCCACTTCTTCCATGTACAAATTGAGCACAATGGGTGAAACTAGGGAACCCATGGACATCCATGTTTCTCCCTGTACTGACCCTAAAACATGTGGAATTAAGACACTGTTCAAAGAACAAACACACTTGTTTGGTGCTGAGGCTGGGGTCATCCTCACGAACTACCTCCACTGCTTCAGTAATAAGTTTTATTAGGTTTCTGTTCTTAGAGTGATATTTTAATATGAGTCTAGCTGTATGGGCTTCCCCAGAAATGTGATTTACATCTTTAAACCTTGTGCTAACACTCTGAGAACTATTTCAAAAGAATCAGAAAAAAATTAATCTATCAACTATTTTGAACACAAATTATATTAAAATTGTACAAGTATATAAGACATGTTATTTGCTCGCTTCTTCTAATCACAGTCAGGCAGGAGTTTAATTTCTGTTAAAAAAATATACAGACCTGATTAGCCCGTTATAAGCATCAGCACCTGAAGCAGGAACAATAATGCACAACACACACTTTCAGTTTTGTTTCTCTGACATTCCTGCATCACCTGAGGAAAATGAATGTGTGTCCTTTCACTGCTTTGAGTTGTTAGGTAAAAGTTTTACACAGCCTGGATTCAAGGGAAAGAATCAGCATCACTGCAATAGTTCATAAACTTAAAACAGGTTGTGTTTAAAAAATGTTGCCTAGCTACACTCACCCTGTACACCACCTTACAGACTTCAGATTGCAGTGTTTGCATAAGATGTTGTTCACCTGCGTGCACCTTCCTCCACTCTTACAGTGTCATGAAAACGTATTTGACCACATCCTGATTTCTGATGTTTTTTAAAAAATATTTTTCACACTTTACATGTTTCAGATCAAACAAACATAATATTGATGGTAAATGGCCTGTATTTATATAGCACTTTATTTTGTCCCTATGGACCCCAAAGCGCTTTACACATTTAGTCATCCACCCATTCACACGCTGGTGATGCCAAGCTACATTGTAGCCACAGCTGCCCTGGGGCGCACTGACAGAGGCGAGGCTGTCGGGTTGCCCGGCCCTCTGACCACCACCAGTTGAGCTATTAAGAGGTGGACTGTGATCACTGTCCTGCTGCATAACCCGAATGAGCAGTTACAGCAAGTTGTCTAGATCCTGAAGCAGCCCCAGACCATCACACTGCCACCACTGTTGGAATCTTGGCAGTGACACCTTGTGGCGAAAGCGTTCATTACAGCCACATGACTGGCTGCCCTTTGACGTATGGCAACACAACAGCATAGAAAAGCCTGATTTTCCAGATACCTGCTGCATTTTAATGTTTGACTTTGTGCTGACTTTAGAATAACCACCATGTTTGACTGTTGGTTTCTTCTTATGAAATGCTGCTAATTAATGCCAGATGTGACAGGATGTAAACCTTCCAAAACCCTTTGTCCCTTCAGTTCACATAGTATTTAAATGTGGAATATTTGTGGAAATATTTCTTTATTTTATTTCTTTACTTGGGCAGCGGTGGCTACCACCACAGAATTCATTTTTCAAGCCATGTGCCAATACAGAGCAGAGCGGCTACAGTTAGGTCCATAAATATTTGGACAGAGGCAATTTTTCTAATTTTGGTTCTGCACATTACCAGTAAATTTTAAACAAAACAGCTTAGATGGAGTTGAAGTGCAGACTCTGAGCTTTAATTGGGCCTGAACAAAACAATTACACAGAAATGTGAATAAAGTATTTGGACAATTTGCATTACTCAAAATAAAATGTTCATTTCAAATATTTGTTTGAAAACACTTTGCTGTAAATGACAGCCTGAAGTCTTGAACTCTTGGACATCACCTGGGTTTCCTCCTTTGTAATTCCACTTCTTTGCTTTAATAAACTCCTCAGTTGTTTTGGCTATATGTTTGGGTCATTCATCTGTATTACAAAACACCACCCCATCAATGTGACTGCATTTAGCTGGATGTGAGCAGACAGCATGTCTGTTAACACCTCAGAATTCATTCGGGTGCTTCTGTCCTGTGTCACATCGTCAATAAACAGTAGTGTCCCAGTGCCACTGGTATCCATGCTCGCCCAAGGTATGCTTTGAATCATGAGCTGCTCCATGTTTTCTCCATACTTTTTTCTTCCCATCAGTGTGGTAGAGGTGGATCTTGGTTTCATCTGTCAAATGAACTGTGCTGACTTGCACCTTGTGGTGAATCCTCTGTATTTACTTCCATGCAATCTTCCCTTTGTGGTAAACTTAAATATGTCCATACACCTACCTCCTGGACAGTCTCGTTTACTCGGTTGGCTGTTGTGAAAGGGTTTCTTGTCACCGTGGAAATGATTCTTTGATCATCCGCCAACAGTGGATGAGCCGTGGACCTCCAAGTCTTTTTTTTGCATTGCTGAGTTCACCAGTGCTTTCTTTCTTTCCCAGGATGCACCAAACTGTAGATTTAGTCCAAAGATCCAGACTTGGAGGCAAACCTGACCAATGGAAGATTGGCCCTTATTTACATGGTAGCAACAAATCCACAGCGATAGTGAAAACAGCTCTGTAATGAATCCAACAGCAAAACACAAGGGCAGACAAACAGTACATCACAGAAAAGAGTTAAGAAAACTGAGGACTTAAATACACACAAGATAATAGCTGGCAAAACAAGATCAAATTTAGCACAACTACGACAAGAGATTATTTAAAAAAAACAAAAACAAAAGAAAAAACAGAAAAACGAACGCTGAGACTAAAATGAATGAACTTGACAGGCCAAACTAAACACAAAGGCTAAACTGACTAAACATAAAACATATGACAGAAACACATTAGACATGAAGAACATAGGCGTGCAGGAAAAACTTGAGAATAACAATGAAATCGATGAATACAAAGGTATTAAAAAAAACTGAAAACTACAAAAGTAGTAAATTCATCCCACTCCCATCCTGTTTTCTAGCTTCAGGAGCAGCAAGAAGACAGCTGTACACTTTCAAAAATAATCAGGAGGCAGGTACAAGTAAGTGTGGAGGAGTCCAAAAGACAGTCCCCTTGTCTGTCACAGGCATCTCATTTTGTTTTGTTTTTTTACTCATGTTTAAAGTGCCTTTGGGTTTCTTACAAATCTAAGTAATTCATCAGCATCATCATCATTATAATAATAATAATTATTAATAATAATCATCATTAGTATGACATTCTCACTGTGGACTCCTCAGTCGTTCTCCTCAGGAACAATGGAAGGTGAGATGAACTGTGTCAATGTGAAGCACTGAATTACAGGCTGATGTCAAAACAGGTGACAACTCTACTGGGGATGTTTCAGAGAAAGAGGAATCAGCACTGCTTCTGCCCCACCTGGAAATCCTCCTATATTTTGAATGAAAAATGCAAAATCTTGCATAAATATTTTTCTCATGCCTAAAGATGAATAAAAATACTTGAATATGAATAAAAAATTTTTTGTCCCCATAAGTGACTGTTGGTCCCCACAAGCATAGTTGAGTGCCAATTTTTCTGTCCTCACAAAGATGTCTAAACACGCACGCACGCACGCACGCACACACACACACTGCACAGGCTCCTGTCAGTACTTTATTTTATTACTTCCAGCCACCGGGGGGCGCTTGTTATCGTTTTTTCTCTGAAGCCAATGC